CCCCAGGTTAAGTGTCTTAAGTTGTACATATCCAGCCATTCAAAAAGCGTGGTAAAAACCCGTACCGCGCGAAATTATCTGCGGAATACCACGGTATTAAGGCTGGTCAGCATGACCAACAGGTGGCACTTGTGGTGCATTGGTTGTTAATTAAACGATTGCTTCAGTTCATCTCTTTACTGTGCATGTTTAAATCTGCTTAATATTGACTATTAATATGGAATTTTACAACTAAAGGGAAAATATTGGTAGCTGAGTATAAAAATAAGAGAAGCATAACGTTTCTGACCGTCATAAACGATATTAATCTAGGATTATAAATATATTATCAAACTGTAGATGGCTATTAGGTGTAGGTGGTAGTTTAAATAAAAAATACACAACAGTATTCCACTTACTTCATAAACAAACATTTTAAGCATCAAAGACTTTCACTCGGTCACTTACTGTGGTTATTATGGGAAAGTTTTGGCGTGCTCGTTCTATTTTATGTTAATTTTTATAAAAAGCTATGAATACTTGCGCTCGTTATCGCAGTAAAAAACCGAATACTTTTTAGAGAATATAATATTTAATGGCGTATCTAAAGAAATTAATAATATTAATTTAAGGATCTGTATGTTTTTATATAGCTCAAAGTATTACCGTAGTCCACTTTGTAAACATCTGCATCTGTTTGACTCATTCACACGTGATTACTTGGAAACATTTTGCCTGCCCTTTTCAGCTATAGCCTAAGCTGCTAAGCGGTTTGTTGTCATAATGGCTTGAGTGCCTGACTTGCATTCTAGAAGCTGGAGTTCGAATCCTGCTCATGGTGTGAGTTTTCCTTTAAAAAATACGCATTTGTTTTAAAAAATAGTAAAATAGTCAATATTATGGAGAAAATATTGAATTTTTTGGTATTTCTAAATATCACAATGTGTTCGAAGTTAAATTAGATCAACAACATAAATGGACAAACCTGTATACTGTCAACATTGGGAGTAAGAAGCAGTTCAGCCGGTTTAATTCAAGTCAATTCAAAATACCTTATTCATTCAAGTGGGGCATACAAAGACAAGCTTTTACATCAAGCCTTTAAATGAAATCGTATATATTATAATTATAATTGAGAATAACAAAACAGTATTTAAAAGACAGCTGAGAATAAACTATAATAACGTATCTGATATGTATTAAAAATATGAATTTATTAATAACT